ACCATTTTTACTTACTGTGTTGTGAATTTGGTGACTGTTTACCAAGAAGGCCATTCATTCTGCACTCAGCTGCCACATTGTGTTTGCATTACGCACCTCTGGAAGGCCTCTCGGGGCCTGGCACTGGTTACAGGGACATGAGAGGCCAAGAGATGTCCCGAAGGGCTGTCCAGGCCGGCAGCTTCCAGCCATTCCCAGCAACCAGCCGTGGAGCACCCACTTGCCTCGGTGTGACTTCTTAACCCCAGGTTCCAGGCCAAGAGGACAGCTCACTTCCTCCACAGCGGGGAGAAAAGACAGAAGCAGCTCCTCTTAGTCACTTCCATGCGCCAGGTGCCGCTCTGGCTTGGGCACCGTGCTGTTGACCACAAGGTCAGCCGTTCAAAACCACCAGCAACAGACTCCACAGGAGAAGGACAAGGCTGCTCACACAAAGAATTAGTCCCAGCTCTCTGCTCCTCCTCGTGCGACCGGCAGCAGCCTCTTCCTGTTCCCACGGAGCCCCAGCCGCATCCCGGAGACGCGCTGGTGAAGGTCAGGGTGAATCATCGATAAGGCTGGGGTTCACTTGAAGGGTGATGCCGAAAGGGTCATCCTCTCTGTCCCCTCTGCCGATGGCCCCATGCTTGTGAAGACCATGAACCACAAGAAGTATGACAGCTCCCTCAAGCTAGTCAGCAATGCCTCCTGCACCACCATCTGCTTGGACCTCTGGCCGAGGTCACCCATGACAACTTTGGCATCATGGAAGGACTCGTGACCACAGTCCACGCCATCACTGCCACCCAGAAGACCGTGGACGGGCCCTCTGGGAAACTCTGGCGCGACGGCCATGGGGCTGCCCAGAACATCATCCCCGCATCTACTGATGCTGCCAAGGCTGTGGGCAAGGTGATCCCGGAGCTCAATGAGAAACCCACTGGCATGGCCTTCCTTGTCCCCACCCCCAGTGTGTCCATCATGGATCTCACCTGCCATCTGGAGAAAGCTTCCAAGTACGATGACATGAGAAGGTGGTGAAGCAGGCGGCTGATGGTCCCCTAAAGGGTATCCCGGGCTACACTGAGGACCAGGTTGTCGCTGCGACTTCAACAGTGACCCCGACTCTTCCACCTTGGATGCTGGGGCTGGCATTGCCCTCAACGACCACCTTGTCAAGCTCAGTTCCTGGTATGACAATGGATTTTCTATAGCCACAGAGTGGTGGACTTCAGGGTCCACATGGCCTCCAAGGAGTAAGGGCCCCCTGGACCACCAGCCCCAGCAACAGCACTAGAGGAAGAGAGGCCCTCAGATGCTGGGGGTGTTGGGGGTCTTTGGCCCAACTCGATCCCCTAACCCACTGAGACTATCTCATCATCTCAAGTGAGTTTCCATCCAGACCCCTGGAGAAGGGGAGGGCTTAGCAAGCCCAGCCTTTCCCGTACACGGTGCCCACCCAACAGAAGAAGAGGAACGGCGGTCTTGGACCCCCGTGTACGGGCCAGCGTGGGTCAGACGCAACAGGTTGGCAGCGTGTTTTTACTCATCTCAATAAAACCGCTCCTCCAGTCCTGACTTCAAAATAAAACAGAATTCCAAAGGAAAGACATTCCTCGGGCACAACCAGGTCCCTTGTCATCACCTTTAGTTTGAACTTGGTTTAAAAAGCAAGCGCATATTTCTCTTGCTACACTATGAATTGGAGGCCTGGTGGTGTAGCGACTGCATTGGGCTAACAACTGCAAGGTCAGCAGTTCAAAACCGCCTGCAGGAAAAGGACAAGGCTGTCCACTCCCATAGAGAGCTACAATCTCAGAAACCCCCAGGAATCATCATTCACCTCTGCCCCATAAGGTCGCCATGAATCAGACTCAACTCGGCAGCAGTGAGTTTGGATTCTGGTTTACGTCATACATTTCCCCTTGTCTTCCTCCAGTAGAGCCCAGGTGTTTGCTCTGGTGACGCAGTGGGTTGTGTGTTGGCACAGGGTCAGCAGCTAGAGCCACCAGCCTCTCAGCAGAGAGACGAAGCTTTCTAGTCCCACAGGCAGTCTCAGAAATCCACAGGGGCAGTTCGACCCTGTCCTGTAGGGTTGCTATGCATCAGCATCGACACAGTGACAGTGGGTTGGGTTTCTCCAAAAGGACCCCTGGTGCCACTGGCTGAGGGGTAAGAGTTGGAATGCTAACCATAAGGTAGGCGGTTCAAGCCCACCAGCCACTTAGAAGGAGAAAGATGAGGCTCTTTATGCTCTCATAAAGATTTACAGCCTTGGAAACCCCATGCACAGGCTCGCTATGAGTTGGAACCAGCTCCGTGGCAGTGTGTTTGGTTAGGCGAGCTTCCTCTAAGCAGCCCTGGTGGCACAGTGCTTTTGCTGCTAGGCAAAGGGTTGGTGGTTAAAGCCCCCGAGTCTCTCTGTGGGAGCTAGCTGTGACATTGTGCTTCTGCAAAGACGTACAGCCTTGGAAACAGACGGGGAAGTTGTGCTGGTCCTGTGGCTGGATCCATAGTGGCTGTGGCTGGAATTGCCCTCGCAGCAGTGGGTGTCGGTGCACCAGTTGCTTCTGAGGCCTCTGTGCTCCTGCCTTCTCTGCTCTGCTCGTGGGTGAAGTTTCTCTCACCGTCCACCTCACTGAACAAGACAGCTCTCCTGCATGTCTCTGGTGCAGCTTTGGGGGCCACCTAACCTTCCCTTCACCCCACCCCACCCCCAGCCTGGCCCATCTGTGGCAGCATCTGGAGGAAGGGGCCATGCTGCCGTGGTCCAGGTCTCAAGGCTGTGTGAGATGGATGCAGCAGCGTGGTGGTGGTCGTCAGGGACCAAGTCACTGCTGACCGACAGCGGCACTGCCCGGTCCTGCCCCATCCTCACAGTTGTTCTTATGTTTGGTCCCGTGGGTCAGCCCACCTTGTGGGGGGCCTTTCTCTTTTTCGCTGTCCCTCTGCTTTACCAGGAGTGATATGATATCCCTCTCCAGGGACCGGTCTCTGCTGACAGCATATCTAAAGTACGTGAGACGAAGTCTCGCCTCCCTCCCTCGCCCCTCAGCACTCTGGATGTACGTCCAAGACAGCAGTTGGCCCTTTGAGCCCTCCATTGGTGCTTTCAGTATTGTTCTCCAGCACAATTCAAGCGCCTCCATTCTTCTACGGCAGCAGTTCTCAACCTTCCGATGCCTCGACCCTTTCACACGGTTCCTCATGTGGTGGTGACTACCCCCCCCCCCAAACCATAACATCATTGTAGTTGCTACTTCATCACTTTCATTTTGCTACTGTGATGAATCAGGTGACCCCTGCGGAAGGGTCGTTGGACCCCCGAAGGGGTCACCACCCACAGGTTGAGAACCGCTGTTCTGTGGGCTTCCTTGTTCAAGGTCCAACTTTCACGTGCCTCTGAGGCCATTGAAAAGACCATGGTTTGGGCCCGGCACCCCTTACCCCTCAGAGTGACATCCCTGCTCTTCAATATTCTAACGAGGTCTTGGGCAGCAGGTTTACCCAATGCAGTGCGTTGCATGGTCTCTTGACCGCTGCTTCCACCAGCATTGAGTGTGGATCCCAGCCAGATGACAGCCTTGACAGCTTCCCCCTTTCCTCCGCTGATCAGGAGCGCTGCTGTTAGTTGTCAGCAGGCCAACTCCCCCCAGGGAGACCCCGAGTGCCACAGGTAGCACTGCTCTGAGGGGCTTCCTGGACTGCAAGGAGATGGCCAGGCTTGCTTTCCCAGAGCCACAGAGAGGATTGGAACTGCCCCTGCCTATCACCAGGACCATGGCATGCTTACGCAGTAGGTAAAGCAAGAGAATCGAACCTGCCAGAGCCCAGGCTTGTTTATTTACAGTGATGTGGGAGAGGACCAGAGGGTCAAAGGAGGCGGTGTGTGAGTTCCACTGGGTAGTAAATACCTTGCTGCGTTTGACCTTGACCTGGGATTGATGAGTCATGTCCTAATAGGGAGTGACTAATCTAGCCCCAAGAAGCCCTAGTGGTGCCGAGGTTAAGCTTGGGTGCAAACTGAGAATTTGGTGGTTTAAACCTCCCAGCCACTCTGTGGGAGAAGGATGTGGCTGGCAGGCAGTGGGCTTCCATAAAGATTCCAGCATCGGAAAGCCCTGCCGGGCAGCGTAACTCAGAACAGACTGAGTGGCCCAGAGGTTGGGTTGAGCCTGTGGGCGGTAGGCTGGGGAGACAAATTGGAAAAGAGAGGCTTAGAGAGTCAGCGGACCCTTCGGATTTCCTCCCTAAGCCTCCACTCAAATACTTCTTGAGCAAGCTTCTGCCTCAACGTGCCAAGTACAAAAATAAGCCAGCTGCCCGGAACCCTGACCTCTCACCCACTTGGCAGGCAGCTCTTCAAGCACTGCACCCCTTCTTCTCCCGGTGGTCAGGCCCGCTCCCGTGGAAGGCGTGCCCCCACGGGCTGCCATTGCCTCTCGGGGGCCTCTGGGATCAGCGGCTATTTTTGTGCTCAGGGAGGTGGCTTCTGCTTGGAATAGGGCTGAGTGGCCACTCGGCGGTCCCTGCCCTCTCCCTGATTGGGCACGTGGCCATGGGCTGCTCTGAGCTGCTCCGGGAATCCAGAGGAGGGGAGAGACCACGAGAGTGAGCTGGAAGCAAGGTAAGGCCCTTGTGTGGCCCAGCAGGGTGTCTACAGGGAGTCATGTGAGAGCCCCCCAGCCCTGGGCTGCCAGCCCTGCCCCAAGTGCACTTGCCTGGGGCAGGGACGGACGGCAGACCTCTGAATTCTGGCTGTTTTCCTTTCCCCACTGCCTGAGAAAAGGAGTTATGGGAAGGGCTCCGCTCTGCCGGCAGCAGCTGTGTAGAGCCAGCCTCCTTTGGTGTGTGACCTGAAAGGGAACACAGAGAGTTTCACCCCCACCCCAAGCCCCTCCCACCCGCCAACAAAAAAAAGAAAGGAAAACAAATGAGTTATTCCTCGAGCCTGAGACAATTGTCCCTCTAGCTTTGCCTCGGGGTCTCACCCCACGAGTGTCAGCAAGCAGCTGGGGGCTCAGTGGCCCGGCAGAAACCGGAGCACTAAACTTGGACTCGAGGTGGGGCATTAGCCTTTTGGGGAGCTGGGGAAAGCAAAGAGGAAGAAAAGAGGAAACTCAAGTGTGCCTGCTGCCCAAGGAAGTGCATCGAGGAGAGCTTGGGTAGGAGATTTACCCCAGGTTCCCGTGCAGAGGACAGTGTGGGTGTCCGGAGAAGTGGTGGAGGGGGGACTGGCCACAAGTGTCCCCTCAGGCTCATTCAAGTTGCTGGTTTGTGCCTGGGGGGTGGAGGGGGGTGGAGGGGGTGCGCGTTGGCTTCAGAGTTTGAGATGCTCTCTCTGTGGGGGTGCAGCCCAGGGCAGGCAGGAAAGCACCCCTGACGCTGGTGCAGGTCAGGGGGCTCTCAGGGGACCCCCTCGGGTGTAAGAGCCCAGAGGAAACTTGCAGCAGTCACCCCTGCACGAGCACAGCTCTGCAGAGACCCTACTGCAGGTGCCGTGTGTCCTTGACAAGCGGTCCCGGGCACGGGGTGGCAGTGTGGGGACACGGGGCTGGCAGCGCAGGGTGGGCTTTGAGAGGCGGTGGTGGTGCAGGTTGAGGGGCGCTGGCAGGACAGGAGGCCAGGCATCTCTTGCAGCGGTGGCTGCTGTTCATGTCCTCACACCCTGCCCGCTGGACCAGTGGGTGGGCGCCCTCCCATCCCCCTCCCTGATGAGGATGGTGAGATTCCCATGCTCTTAGGTCTCGCTGGTGTCTCCCAGTGCCCAGCACCCACCCCCACCCCCTTCACCGCCCAGCTGACATTTCAGGGTGAAGTCAGGTGTTGGGTTTCCAGACGTGACTGTCAGGCCACCAGGAGCCAGCAGAGAGGGAAGCTGGTTCATGGCCAGTGCATGGTGACCCTTTGACCCACTCCACACACCCCCTCATCTCTCCAGCGTTCTCTTTGCCCGCCCTGCCCCCCTCGTAGTGCAATAGGCTCACCCTCCAGCCCCACGCCCAGCCTAGGCCAGCGGACTCCCCGAACAGACCCCCATCCTCCCCACCACCCAGCACGGCTCCTGTGTTAGAGGGGGCATTCTCCTGACCACAGATATGGATCCTGAGATGATTTCCAGAACCCCCAGCCTCCTCCCCGCCCTCTCCCCGCCCTCCAGCCTGGGCAGCTGGCCCTAGCTGGCTCTGTGGCCGTCTTGTGAGGGGGTGAGTGAGTGGCTGGGGTCCAGCCGCCTGCGGCAGCACCACACAAGAACACGTGGTCTTCCCTGGACCTTCTCAGGGCACTGGGGGTGGGGCTGCAGTCACGAGAGGGGAGGGGTGGCTGCACAGGAGTGTGACCCGCCCCTAAGACCCATCCCAGGTTCCTGGCTAGGCAAGATGCCAGGAGGCAGAAGTTGTGCAGGCTTTGGCCCCAGACTTGCAGGGCCAGTGTGTGTGAGTGCTGTGGGGAGGGGTGCCCCACAATACACCTCACAGCCGCACCTAGCACCCCAGGCCCCTGACCTCGGGCAGTCAGTTAACCCTGGGCACTTCTGGTGATGATCTACCAGACATCGCTGCTGGAGGTCTTGTCTTAGGAGGGTGATTGAGGCCAGCTACGGCTGCGGTCAGCGTTTGGCGACCTGTGTCCTCTACTCCATGAATTCCCACCTGTGTGTAGCCTTTTCCAAAAAATCTCTGCTCCAGGAGCCCCGACACCTGCTCAGTGGAAAGCTCGGCAGCACGTTTTCCTTTGTCAATGTCCCCGTTCATTGTTGAAGGTGCGAGTGCTCTTTGAAGAGCTGCACATTCTAAAACCGGTGTCACTTAATTCATAAATCAGCACCTGGTCACCTGGTGCTTATCAGCTCTGAAAGGAATGTAAGCCATTGCCCCGCCCCACCCCGCTCCCCTGCCTCACCCTGTGGTGTCTTTGGAGAGGGGCCTCAGCTGACTTCTATCAGTGTCCCACAGGGCTGGCCCAAGGGAGCGAGTGGTGGGCCTGCCCCCTTGCAGGTGCCCTTTCTCCCACACAGATTTCAAGCTGCTTGGATGCCCTGGCACCTTACATCTCTGATGGGGCCGCCACAAGCCCTCTGCGGCTGTTCTTGTAAACCCATTGCGGCCCTCCTTGTGGGCCAGGGTAGAACTGCTCCTGTGGGTTCCCCAGACAGTCACTCTTCATGGGAGTAGAAAGCCCACCTTTCTCCCATGGAGCAGCTGGTGAGATCAAGCTGCTCGCTGACCATGCAGGTAGCAGCCCTGCGTGTAACCAGCACCACCAGGGTGCCTTCTGTTATTGTCAGGGAGGGAGCAAGGCTCTTTCGGGCTCTCAGCACCTCAGTGGGAAACAGAAAATCCGCCTCCTCTTGACTCACAGCGGCCCCCGTGGCACAGAGCAGCACTGCCCCGGGTACCGAGGCTGGGCATCTTTATGAGAGCAGTTCTCTGGGTCTTTGCTCCCGCGGACTGCAGGTGGACTCCAGCCACCAACCTTCAGGCTAGCAGCTGAGTTCTAACTGTTGCTGCCGCACCAGGCTCCTCCGCCTCTTATATGGCCTGTTAACTGGAAATGTCATGGACGGATGGAAAAGCAGAAAGCAGCCTGTGCAAGGGATGTAACAACACAAGCACTGCACACACAGCTCCTTTCTTCTCCGAGTCAAAGGTCATTCTTGGAATGTGCGGTTCATTGTAGTAGGACCCCTGGGTCCACTTCGCTGTGACTATTTTGACTTGTGCACACATGTATGTATTTATACATGTGCACATGAGCATGCACGTGTACACAAGAGTGCCCTTGTGGCGTATGCTTACTGTGTGCATGCATGTGTAAGTGCATGCTGTGTGCATGTAGGTGCGTGCGTACATGTGTGCATGTGTGTCCTTTGTAACTCAGTCCGCACACATCGTCCCCCGTGGTTGGGAGGGTTCTTGCTCCAGTGCACAGGAGAGGCTGGGCACAGGTTTATTGGCAGTCTTCAGGCCCCTCAGCTCTCGTCCCTCTCCCAGCCTCTTCCCCACCCCCCTCCACTGCCTGAGACAGCACCACCCTGGAGAAAAGAAGATTCTGGAGTTCTGAGAACCAGCAGAGGTGTGTCCGCTCACTGGCTGTGTCCTCACCCAGGGCCGTCCTACTCTGTCCTGAGGGTTCCCCAGGCCCCACGCTCCACAGACTGGCCAGGCTTCCTAGCCCTCCCTGCTTTGCCCCACCCCTCAGGATGGCAGCCTAACTTTGGATGTCACTGAGCCAGTTTGACTCGTTCCCTGGCTCAACTGATAGAGACCATTATCAGTAGGGTGTCAACTCCACCTATAGGAACCAAATGATGACTGTAGTCTGTTGACTGACTGCCTTCAGGGAGGATGTCTCTGAGCTTCTGACCTCCCCCCATATGCTAGCAAAAAGCCCCTAATGTTTGGCATGTCTTTGGGGGATACAAAGCTGGGGGGAAATCTCTTTATAATCCCATATTCACCTGTGCCTAGGTGACTCTGGTCTGAGCATGCCCAGCTTTGGATTGTCCCCATAGGTGTCTAACGTGTGCCCGCTTTCTTTCCAACGCCTTTATTGTGGCATGGCCAGCTAAGTTTTGTTTAGCTTAGACATTCAGTGCAGACACCCCCTTTTCCCCTAATCTTCCTGCCCGTCAATAGAAACCCGCATGCCTGCTGGCCTGGGCTGCCACTGCCTTCCCAGCTCTCATTCACGCCAGGCTGGACATGGGCTCTGTCTGCCCTTCTGCCAGCAGTGTCAGTCTGTTGACCTCTGTGCCCGTCACCCATGCTCCTAAAGTGGTGGCAGCCCCTTCCACCCTCCCTCCATCCGGGGAACTTGGAGCACAGGGGCAGTGGATGAGTATTTGTCTCTTGTCACAGGAGGCCACAGCCCTCTGGACATGTCCCCCAGGCTTTCCTCTCCCCTACAGCTGACAGCAGTAACAGCCTCGAGCCACCAGACCACCTGCCCAGACAGGATGGAGCCTCCAGGGCTCAGAGATGCACCCCAGCTGCACTGGCTGAGTTCTGTTGCTAGGAGCCAGGTGGGATCAGGCAGGGGATCCCCGAGCTCACTGCACCGTAGACTATGAAAGCAGAATCTGTCCCTGGGGAGTGGGGGCATGTAGTCAACAGTGAAGTGTCTTATTATCCATTGGCTGAGAAAATGCACCATGCTCAACGATTCCCAGAGGTCCGGCAACGGGTTTAGTTAATGGCTGTTTTATTTACTCTCACCGCGTCTGCCCACAGCACAAAGTTGAAGTGCACATGTGAGGAGTGTATGTTTATTTGGTGCGCGGAGGCCTCCCAGGCGCCTTCAGCTGCTGGCTCGCACCCTGGCTGCTGCTGTGGGAGTTGTACGGGACCCTGCAGTGCATCGCAGAGTCAGTGGAGAACCAAGGGCTCGGTCATGCTGCCGTCCGTGGGTCGTAATGCCTGTTCAAGAATCAGTGTCAAACCAGGTGCTGCGTAGACGCACGGATGACGAGACCTCGTGCTGTTCTGTGCGACACGTTGTCAGGAAAGACCAGGCTCTAGAGAAGGGCGTCGCTGGTCCGGTGCTTACGTGGAGGGTGAGCAAAAACAAAGGGGTCCCCAATGTGATGGCTGCTCTCTCGGCAGCCACAGCTACCTGCTCCGATGCGCCTGTGACCCTGAGGAAGTTCAGAACCGGGCAGTGTTCCGCGCTGTCATGCCTGGCGTTGCCATGAGCCAGAGATACTTTGATGGCAACTAACAACAATCACCCGTGACTCTTTAATTCTTAAGTCTTCGGAGTAAAACTTTGTGTAGTGCTAACCGTCCCCCCACCCCACCCCACCCCACTTTTTTTTCACAGCTTTCTCTCATGATTTCGTTCGTCTCTTTTTACGAACTGTCGAGTTGGCACGGCCCAATATGGGAGGGGGCCGGGACAAGTGATTTCATTAGGACTCAGTCACATTTATGCTTCTGCTCCATTTGCCTGTCACCGTGCAACAAACGCGGGACCCCTGGTGGTGCAGTGGCTCCGTGTTGGGCTTGTGATCAATCGGACTTTCTGTTCCCGTCAACAGTGACCATCTTGGAAGCCCCCTGGGTCACTGTGCATCAGCACTGGCTCGGTGGCAGTGAGCGAGAGGGAGCGAACCCCGGCTGCCACAGGGGCCTCAGGCACAGGAGCCGTTGAGGGCGGCACAGAC